CCCCCCCCACCCGCCTCGGCCCTGCCCCGGATTCGCTCCTCCGCCTCTCTGACCCGCGGTCCCATCCCCGGGCCTGCCCTGCCCCTGCCCTCTCCCAGCCCTGCTTCAAGTCTCTCCGAGTGCTCTCCGAGTCCGAGTCCGAGTCCGAGTCCGAGTCCGCCGCACTACCTTGCACCGCAAGCTCCGCCACCGTGCGGCTGCCCTCTGCCGTCTCGCATATGTACACGGCGTCGTCGTCTGCAGAGACGTTGCGTACGGTCAGCCGGCGCTCCGTGCCCTCCTCCTCGATGCCATACTTGGCGCTCGCCCACAGCCGAGTCTCTTCCTTGTACCACGCAGCCTCAGTGGACGGCTGCGGGACCTCGCACTGGAACGTGGCCGACTCCTTCTCCCGCACCTCCAAGTCCTGCAGGCGCTTCTTGAAGGGCACAGCGGGCTCTGTGAAAAACAGGATCGTGAGAGGGACCAGGTGGGACGGAGACGGTGGAAGTGTAGGAAGAGAGCAGGGGTGAGACCGGAAGTGGGGAAAATCGGGGTGTAGGGGATGGGGATGCGGTGAACACAGGGCATGCGGAGAGCAAGAGGAAGGTAGGTAGGGCTAGTGGGGCAGAGGAGGGGGCAGGAGGCAGAGGGGCTGGTGGATTGGGATGAGGGAGGTGGTAGGAGGAGGGCTGAGTAAAAGGGGTAGGATCTGGGGGGAGGGGCAAGTCACGTTGGGATTGGGGGGGCAGTAGACTCGGTGGTCGCTGGCTTAGCAAGGTCAAGATACAGGAAGGGGGAAGTGGGTCACTACAACCGTAGCACACGCCTAGGGTCATCGCCTGCGTCGCCCGCATTCTGCGGACCGGGAACAGAAACCCGCTAAAAGAGAGGGCCGCCAAGACCTCCAACTCTGACCAGGTGGGAAACTGCAGCGGCCGCTGGGGTGAAAGAAAGCGGGCGCAGGGGCCAGGAAGGAGTCTCCGCCCCAGCGGACCAGAAACTTGCTGCGCCGGGACCGCGCGCCCCACACTCGGGCTCACCTCGTACGACGACTAGCACGGAACTGAAGGTCTGCCCTACGAGGTTGGACGCCGTGCAAGTGTAGAGGCCGCGGTCCGACTGCTTGCAGAAGAGAATTTTGAGCACGAAGTTCTCCTGCGCGTCCTCGTATATCATGTGACGCCGGCCTTCAGCCACCACCTGCCCATCCTTCTTCCATACGGTCTCGGGCTTGGGCTCACCGGTCACATAGCAACTTAGACGTGCGTGCTTGCCCTCTGTCACTGTGCACGTGCGCGTGCCGGCACCGGGTGGCGAGGGCGGAATGCCCTCGGCGCGCATGGCCTCGCGACGCCGCTGCAGATGTGCCAGGAGGCCGGCGGTGGAGGCCCCAGGCGGGCTGGCAGCGTCAGAGTCCGGGTCCACCACGAGTGCAGCGGCAGCACTCGCGGCGCCCAGCAGGTTTTCAGCTCGTACCTCATAGGTGCCGCCGTCTCGAGGTCGCGCCGCCTGGATGCGCAGTGCACTTGCCTCACCGCTCTCCTCCACGCGCACGCGGGGGGCGTCGGACGCGCCCAGGCGCCGCCCGTCTTTGGACCAACTCACCGCCGGAGGCGGCGACCCGCGCACGCGACAGCGAAAGGTGGCCTCGGCGCCCTCGCGCACGCGGATGGATGTGGGCCGCAGCAGGAAGTGGGGCGCCTGCTCTGCATATGCAGCGTCTGCATCCACCTGCAGGCCCACGGCCGCAAAGGCTTCACCAATAGCGTTGCGAGCCCGACACACATACTGCCCGCTGTCACCAAGCGCAAGGTCCAGGATGGTGAGGCGGTATAGGTCGCCGTCCTGGGCAAGTCGAAAACGTGCCCCTGCCTCCACCGGCTGCCGATCCTTCTCCCAGCTCACCTGCGGCGTGGGGTTGCCCACAATCTGACAGCTCAGCGTGGCGTCTTTGCCCACTGACACCACGAAGGCCTTGGGCCTAGTCAGGAAGCGTGGTGCACCGGTGAAAGTGGAGTGAGCCATGATGGTGGTGGCGGGGATGACCTGCACAGGGATGGAAGGGGGTCATTGTGGGGATGTGAATGAGACCCAATGCACTCTGAGACTCCTGCCTAGCCTGCCTGGCTCCTTGAATATCCCGTGACGCCTGGAAAACCCGGTTTAACACAGGGTGGACATCTCTCCTTCCCCCACCCCTGTGTCCAGAACACATCAACAGGTGGCACTGTGGTCTAGCAGTGTAGATTTACCCCTTTCTGGGCATTTGGAGTCGACGCCCCCACCTCAAATGGGCTCTTCTAACAGATGAGAGCATCTCCTCCTCCCTCTCCTTCCCACAGGTCATTCCACTGCCCCAGCCAGAGGTCAACACTTGAGCACCTGTCTCAAACCCAGGCCCTCCAGCAACCAGGAGGGACCCAAGTAGAGCATCACCAGTTTACTGCCTGCCAGCTTCACTGTACCTCCCACGCAAACCTGCCTAGTAAACAGTGGGCACTCTATCTGCCTGTGCATGTCTCCTGCCCCACATACTGCAGCCACTCAGAGTTTAAAACTCCAATTTTCTGTGTCCCACACACAAAAAGGGGAGATTCAAAAGGCCTGGGCAAGGGAGACTCCTGGTAGGTGGTCCATTCCTTGCACTTGTCTCCGCTCTCTGTTGTATGCTGTGTTGGGCTTTGCTCTGAGCCTCCGAGTTTACTGCATCCTGTGCCTGGCATGCCCCCTTTATCCCCCACCCTCCCTCCCAAACTACCCCTTAGCAGCCTCTCTGGGCTCCACCAAGGGGTCTCTCTCACCTGAAGCTGGGCCAAAGCAGGCCTACCTCTTCTGCAGGGTCCCTCACCTCCTGTCCACCACTAAGGTGGGCACATTTTTCATCAATGAACAAAGGAGGAATGAAAACTGGCTCCCAGCCAAGCAGGCTTTCCCTAATAACACAAGTGCCCCCAGCCCACTTCATTGACCACACCTTGCCCTCTGTCTCTGAGCACCCATCCCCCTTAAACCCTTCACAGGGCTTGACTTAGGTTGGATCAAGGAAGGTCTAAGGGCAGCACACAGTTAGTGTGTGGTAGAGGAGAACAGCTGCAGAGTTCCATAGGCTGTAGTAGACAAGATTAGCAATGTCCCCTTGGAAGAAGCACAGATTACCAGGCTAAAGTCACCTGGACCCAGCTAGCCAGATCTACCCTGAGTAGCTGTGAGTGAATTGGTCACTCTGCAACTTTCAACCATGACTGCCAACAAGGTATACTGTAGGAATGGGGTTAGACACCTGGGTCCTCCTGGGCACCATCAACACCAAAAGGCCCCTAGTGACCCTGGCCCTTGTCCATCCTAGGCTGAGCCTCAGCTGGCTGGCCCCCAGTAAAAATAGGGTGAGATGAAACTGTGTCCTGCCTGCATCATCATGTCTTATGTAAGAACAGGGTACACCAATGGGCCCCACTGGTCACTGGACTGGTCCAATATGCTTTAACTTCCTCAATATGCTGACTTGCCTACCCCATTGCCGAGAGGCCATTGCCATGGCATCCTGTGTGCACCCTCCCTTCAGCCACAGTCTCCAGTCTCTGGGCCTGGGTTGCCCACTGTGAGATGAGCTAGGTCAGTGTTCCTGGGGCCCTCCTGGTCCTGTGATTCAGGTACCTAATCTCCCTTAATCCCTTTTGAGGAGGCTGAGCCCAGACCAGAGCTGGGCTGCAGGCAGCGGGTGCCAGTCTGCTGACTCACTGTGCAGTCAGCACCTCTTTCCCCACCAGCCCCACCACCCTTAGCCAGGCCTGGACTTTTTGGGCCTGGGGAGAACCTGAGCAGGGGGCCACAAACAGCAGGGACTGGGCCCCAAGACCAGCCCTTTCTCAAGTCCAGTTCCCATGGGCACCTCCCTGGCCTTATTGTCCCCTCCATCGAGAAGCTATTTTGACATCAGCTCTCCAGGGACCTTGAGCTCTGAGCTCTTCCTGGCGTTTCCCAAAATCATACAGTTGGTCTGTGAGTTCCCCACCTACCCATCCACCTCCAGTACACCCAGAACCTGAGCTGCCCTGGCCAGAGCAGCCGCGGGTGCCTGCAGCACGAGTGAACATATATGCTCATGATCTCTCTGAACCAGGAGGCCAAGACCAGCAGTGGGAAGCTTCCATCACTGCACCTGCTAAGTGGGAGCTGGCCCCAGTCTTCCACAAATACAGACTGACCCTGGCCTGACAAGATTGTGTGAAGACCTTGAGGTTCTCACAGGCCCCCAGGGATGGCGCTGTGACCCTGCTGCAGGCCGAGGGCCTGTGTTCTTCCACAGTGCAGGGCCCAGGCTCAGGCAGCAGACTATATGATTCAAGGGGGCTCCTCCTGAGGTAAACACCTTGCAATCCCACAGCACCCTGGCCAGATGGTGTTCTCACTAGTCAGCAGGCCTGAAGCCAGAAAGGGGCTTGCCAAGTGCATATTCTCAAAGACTCGGGGGCTACTCTCCTTCCCTAACACCCGCATATTCCAGGTGAGGAAACAAGCAGAGCAGGCAAAGGGAGCTACCTGCAGCCACCTCTGGGGCTACCAAGAAATTCATCCAGGTACAAGGACATCTGCAGAGGCCCCCTCCTCCCACTGCCATATTTTGGGTTGGAGATTGCTAGATGTATAGACTTGTGGGCACAACAGGAGGGGGAGACTGAGGCCAGGACCTCACACTTCGCAGAGACAGAAAGTCGCTTTCTCAGATGTCTGCCTGGAAAGGCATTCCCTATGGACCATCCTTGTGTTTGCAGCCCCTCTGAGGCCTTGCCCCAGCTCTGTGAGTCTTGCCTTCCTGTCACTTACCACACCTGGGGTTACATCCTGAAGCCCAGGAACCCAGCAGCTGACCCATGCCCCACCCACAATTCCTCAGCCTCCTAACTTGCAGAACTTTGCCATCCTAGTGGCAAAGTTGAGGAGTCCAGGGACCATTTTCTGGAAGAGTCTAGAGTCAGAACTGCAACCCCCCTCCTAGGAACTCCATCTCACCAGCCCTCCCTCTCTCTCCCTATCCCCTTGAGATGGAATCTGTGGCAGGTCAGTCCCCTGCACGCCCTTCCAGAATGGACTTCCAAGGGCAGCTTCTCAAGGCTGTGCCTCACCTTAGACCCCTGGGCCTGTCAGCTTCCCGCACTCCAGGGGAAATTCTTTCCTGGAGTCAGGTGTCAGTGCCCCTCTGGCTGTCCCCTCCACTGAGCCAACAGGCCCAAAATAGCCCCAGCTGTCAGCGGGCATCTATCTCAACAGGGTTGGGGGCAGGGCCTACCGGACCCCCAGGCCGCTCTCAAAGTAGGGGGCACCTGGCGAGGCAGTGAGTGCATGAAGCTGGCCCCAACCCTCCCTGCCCCTGGCCACATGAGCTGCCCTTTTTCACATGAGGGCCCAGCTCTGGGTCACTGGTAAGGCAGGGGCTGAAATCCAGGCTCCTGTCCTGTGGAGCTGCACAGCCTGACCAGACCCCCAAGTCCTTCTGTTCACCAGAGCCGTGACCTTCAGCTGAGCCATCCTCTAGGAGCATAGGACAGTCCCCACCCTGCATGGCACTCTGCCTCCTCACCTGTCTTGGGGGGAGCTTCAGTCAGGGTCCAAGCCTAGGGCCCAGACGGTGAGGCCAGGGCTGCTGGGTCTTACCTCCCTCCAAGGCCCAGGACCGACACAGTTTTCACCCAGCAGCCCACACTCCGGCCGGTCCTCAGAATGGACAGGGACGAAAGGACAGGCAGACACTGTCAGCTGGAGATAGCTGGGCCCGCCCCCACCCCACCCCCCCCACCGACCAGGCCAGGCCAGCC